GGAAGCGGGGAACACTGAGATGGAGGTGGGCAAATCAAGGGTTCTGTTCTGAGTACATTAAGTGTGAATTGTCTGAGAGACATGCAAATGGCTGTATCAGAATGGCGATCAACATGTACCATGTGGAGCTCAAGGGAGAGGTCTGAGTCCAGTAGATATTCGTTCCTCTTGGTTTGCTTAATTAATTATTGTTGTAAGGAAGACATGGGCTCAGTATTTCAGTTGCCCAGAAAGGTAATCGTAGACTCAATAACCTAATACTTTTAAACCTCCATAGCTGTCAATCTGATAGCCATCTCCTTCATCCTTGATTCATTCAGAGACCAGACAGATTTTTACTAACATTCAAGTGAAATTATTTTCTCATTGTGATATCTTCTGGAATATTGATTTCATAGATATGTCTAACATTTCCACCTATATGCTACAGAAATTCAGTCCCTATATGCACTGAATTCCAAATGTATGCCAAATCCCATGCTAGGTGCACATCTTTGGCTATTGTTAACATTCCAAGAGACTGGAGCTTAAAAAGAAAACAGCCAACAATGAGAAAAAACTTCCATGCATAAAATGGATTATTGCTTCCCTGTTTCTTTATTGCCATGTCTTAAATATTTATCACTGTGGACTGAGAAACAGAATATCCTACAATAAGTTTGCCTCTGGACAAGGTTTCTTATTCAGGCAATAAAATACTGTTTATTCAAGGTCCTTGTCATTCTGGAGCAATGTTAGGAAATAGAGTAAATAAGGCATAAAACCTCTCCTCTTATGTTCAATAGAAAACATGTAGCTCAAGTGTGTAACTAACAAAACAAGCCTTTCCATATTTTCATTGTCTGTGATTTTTTTATTAATTACACAAAGAATATTATTATGTGACATGCTCATTGTAAAATTAAAATGCCTGAGCAAAGATTTTTTAAAGAAATGAATTCATTATCATGCCCTCCACTTCTTGCTACCCGTTTTGCATGAGGTAACTAGTATTAACAGTTTAGTGAGTTTTCCTTCATCCTTTTAGTCTACCTATATAGGGTATCCCAAAAAAAATGTATACACGCTTTAACAGCTGATGGCTCAATTTTGAAAAGGAAATGTATTTTAATAAACACTGCCTTTATAATTATTCAAAATGTGTGTTTACATTTTGGGAGAACACCCATACGTATCTTTGCTTTTTTCACTTGACAATATATCTTAGGCATTGTGCAATGTCATCTTTTTTAACGTGGCACAATATTTCAGAGGGAGAGAGAGAGAAGTTTATTTTAAAGAATTGGCTCACATGATTATGAAGGCTAACAAGTCCCAATATCTGTAGTCGGCAAGCTCAAAGCCAGCAGAGCCAAAGGGTAGTTCCAGTGCGAAAGCTGGCAGGCTCAAGACCTAGGAAGAGCTGATGTTTCATTCTGCGTCCAAAGGCAGAAGAAGACTGACAGCCCAGCTGGAAGGCAGGCAGAAGAAGTTCCCTTACTCAGACTTTGTTCTCTTTGGGCCTTTGATTGATTGGATGCGGTCCCGCCACACTGGGAGGGCAGTCTGCTTTACCCAGGCTACTTATTCAGTGTTCACCTCACTCAGAAACACCCTCACAGACACACCCAGAACAGTGTTGGACCAAATATCTGGGTTCCTTAGTGCAATCAAGTATATACTGAGTCAGAATTCTGGGTAGGAACTAGCAGGCTTTTCTGACACTTCCCAGATGATTCTGATGTACACCAGAATGAGTGGGCTTTCTGACTACTCAGGTCTGTGCTTGGAGTCCAGGGAAATGCCTTTGAGAACCCACAACCTGGTTGGATGGGTCATTGATCCTGGTAAATAATAGCTACCTCATTTGCCAGCTACTTTAGAGAGAGTGCATTATCATCAGGAACTGAGGAGAGGTGGATTCTGTTTCTTCCCTGTCCTGGAGCGTTATAAATATCAGCTTGAGAACCTACAGGTACCTTCTCTGAAGGACTCTCTTGTTTGTTGATTTCAGATCCTCAACCTTCCGTAAACACGGACCTGTATCGTGGAGCTGAGCGGGTGAGCAGGGCCTTCTCTGCCCTTGTTGATCAAATCACCTTGCCCAACTGGAAGTGAGAAGGAGTCCGGTCTTAAAGGCCCCTGGGGGTGATGAAGAAACATATTTTCAAAATCTATACTGAAAGAATTAAGTCTCTACCCTCTCTCTCAATAGTCTGGTGTGAAGCATGAAGAAAGTTTTATTTTTTTCCATCTCCTTACTCATGTGTCTTAGTTTTTAAGGGCAAAGCCTTTGGGAGTGAGGGGTGGTTGAGGGAAATGGGAAGAAGTGGCTGAATCCAATCCGGATGTGCTGAGTTTCCAGTAGAGGGCCATTCTTACTTTAAAATCGTTGGAAGGAATATTCAAGTGTGTGATCTAAATGAAGTTGTCTAACTATCTTCTTTAACAACATTTAAATTACTGAATTGATGAGCTAATTTTCTATCTGGTTGCTCTTGCTGGAGAATAAGCTCACACAAAAAAACCCCTAAATACACACACATATAATTGAGTGCACTCAGAACCGGTGAAATCTGAATGAACTGGCTTGTACCAATTTCCTGGTTGTATTATTAAGCTATTGTTATGCAAGATGTTGTCATTGAGGGAAACTGGATATAGGATATCTCTGTATTATTTCTGACAACTGTATATAAGTCAACAGTGATTTCAAATTTATTTTTAAAACATGACTGTTTCTCTGTAAGACCCCACTTCCAATGAGGTTGGCCAAAGTACCTGTGTGCCTCCTTTCTCTGTATGTATAATGAGGCTGCAGATGCTTAATTGAATGATGTCCAAAGTAATAGCTAACACTTTTTACTATTAGAGCACTTTGTTTCTAAGTACCTTGTATGCACTAACTCATTTAATCCTCACAACAAACCTAGCAAGTGGATATTTTATAAGAAAACCGAGGCACAAAGCGGGTCAGCAACTAGTCCGAAGTTATTTGGTTGGTGCATAAAGAAGTTGAGATTCAAACCCAGCTCCTAAGCTTATACTCTAACCACTGCTCTGTACTTTCTCTCAGTAAATATTGTTATGATTTCATTGTTTTACCAATTATCTTAATGAATAGTCCATGTTACATTTAGAGAGGCTTGAACTTTTATTTATATGATCTATAACTTCTAGTACTGTTTCCAGAATGAAGTGATATCCAACTGGATAGGATTAGGACTAAGTTATCCCTGTTCAATCTCATCCTAATATTTTTAAATTGGCTTTTCAGCTTATCACAAATTTTTTATTTTAGTTTTGTTGCTCAATGTATCGCCTCCTTCTTCCTTCATCCCAGCTTGTTCCTTACACGTTTCGTAAGCATGCTAGTCAGCAAGCTACAGCCAAGATCTTACCCGCTGCTGATTTTGTACACGCTATGATCTAAGAGTGGTTAGGACTTTTTCAATAATGAAAAAATCATGAAGAACAATTATCTTGTGACACTTGAAAATGATATGGATTCCAATGTCAGGGCCCATAACCGAAAGTTTCATTGGAACACAGGCATGCTCATTTATTCAGGTCTTGTTTACAGCCACTTTCATTCTACAAAGTCAGCATTGATGAGTTGCAACAGAGACTGGATGGCTCTCAAAGCACCAAATATTTACTTTCTGGCCCTTTAAGAAAACTTGGGCAGCAGGTGTTGTGTAGACCCCTGTGACATGTGAGGGGCAGGTATTGTAAGCATCATGAGAGTGGCATCTTCTTAACAATTTGTAAGAGGTAATGAGTTTGTGGGATGTTTTTAAAGAATATGATGAAAGACATTAGAGAAAGTGGCATGAAAGCAAAACCATGCACCCACGTAGAAATGGCAGCTGAAGCGTGGCAGCCTCTGATGTGCTCGTTCTAAACAAGAGAAGCTGGGGCTGGGCCCCTCCCTCCCCCAGACCTGCTTCCTCCATTGAAGGGCGTGGCTAAACCTCAGATGCTGCTGAGTCTTCTAATAATAACCCTTTAGATAAGAGTTTTAGCTTAGGGAGGGCCCTAAACCTTCAGTTAAAACATTTACTGAGGTTTCCTTTGGACCTGGAGAAAGCAAGTGGATCGCTAATGTAGCTGAAATTCAAACTGGTTGTCTGTCATCAGTTATAGAATGATTGGAAAAATAGAATAATTATATGATATAAAAAGAGCAATGTGTGTGGAATGCAAATAAGCTTGCTAATTGGACTTCTCTGCTATGAACCTCATTCAGGCCTGCTTATTTTAAGGGGAAAAAAATGCTTACAGGTAATTTTCTTATAAAGCTGTTCATTTTACTTTTAGCTTCCTTTTCAATGCAAAGTCTAATCAATTATAAAGTTTTCATAGTTAATCAGACTGAAAACATGCTTATTTGGAAATAACAAACTTAATGCTCATTTTATTTGAGATTTGATTATTATTAATGATAACATTAAATATTGAAATAAAGAGACTTCAATAATATTGCCTGGGGTCCAGAGCTTTTTATTAATTTTGTTTTCATTAGAAGAATTCTTTATTCACCAGGTGTTTTTTGTTTTTGCATCATTCAGTTAAAATATTCAAAAATATTCTTTCAAACAAGATTCGGGTATCACAGGTCATCAGTAACTGCTAATTAATATGCCTGTGCATAAGCAATCCAGTGGTTAATGGCTTGGAAGTCATGCAATGCATTCAAGTTAAATGTATGGCACTCTAGTTCATTAACAATGTCATGCACCCCAAAACAAATGGTCAAAATGAATACAAAGAGTATCCCCCAACCCCTACTTATCTTTGAAAGCTCTTTTAAGTCTTTCAGACTGCGGGATGATCTGGCAGAAAGGTCATCATTTGAAGGAACATGCTAGCAGCCTAAACGAATGAAACTAAGTACTCTGATTGTGGCTTAATATTTATCTCTGGACATTCCCACCATTTCAAGTGAATAAATGATCAATTGTCAAGAAAAATATATATATTTTTAAATTCCAACGCTTGAGTTAGCTCTGAAGTTAGATTTATTTTCTCTTTATTTCAAGGCCACTGCTTGCTTTTCCAATTGACTTGGACTCTCTCCTGCGTATGTACAGGCTTAGCAAATCTTCAATCTTTTTCTTCTTCAGGGAAAGGATTCTTGGTTGCTGAGAATGTGCACCTGGAAGTAAAGAAAAGGAATGAATCATTAAGCCACCGAATTTTTTCAGGTTAATTAAATATCAATATATTAGTTTTAAAAAGGAAGTTTGCTGTTTCTGCCACTCTACTATCAAAATTCTGTATAAATTTACTCCAGACATGTATATGTAAATATGTGTTTATGCAATTTTGTGTCCTATGCAGTTCAGTTATATAAATTAAATTATAATAAATACATTTTCTTATTAATATGTATTGAGATATGTTTCTGACTTAAAAAATAAAAATGGTCATTATATAATTTTGGGTATAAAAAATATGAAGAAAAAACTTGAAGCCACCCTTAGCATAATTTTCCAGAAATAACCATAGTTTTATGCATACACACTTTATGCCATACTTTAGTTTACCATTACCCTATTATGGGACATTCAGGCGACTTTCAAATTTCCTGTTGCTATAAATAACACTGCAGTGAAGAGCCTCATACTGCATCCTTGGTTATATCGCTGAATGTCTCCTTAGAATAGATTTCTAGATGGGTAATTTCTGAATATGTTCCTTGGGAAATTTCTTCGAATAAAATAGAGAACCAAGCATTTGTCATTTAATTATTTATATATCTGAAGCATTGTTTTCTCCTCTGTTTAGTGTTTAAAACATAAGCAGGTGTCACCCAACCAGTGTGGCTCAGTTGGTTGAACATTGCCCCATGCACCAGGAAGTTGCCTGTTCGATTCCCCATCAAGGCACATGCCCCATGAAACTAATCCATGAGCTAACCACTACTCTGTTATTTTCTACTGGGAGTTATCATCAGCCTACTCTTTCCTAAATCAATTAATACCTTTATCTTTCTCCATCTCCCTCCTCCTTCCCCCTGCCCTTCCTCCTTCTTTTCTACCCTCCTCCTCCTCTCCCTCTCTGCCTTTATATAATTCATCATAATTTAGTGGTTAAGCCTTGGCACACCGCCCTCACACCTTCCAGATATTTCAGCATTCAATTATTAGCTCTTATCTTTCCAGACTAAATACCAATGACCTTTTGATTTTTTTCTCAAATGATGTCTCTAGCCCTCAGAGTTTTTGGAATTCTCATTTCATGTCTGGACTTCCTCTGTTCCTGCTTATCGTTGTTACAAACAGCCATGGTGTCCAGGTCATCCATCACCCTGGTGGGTAAGCTGTCCTTGGGGTAAAGCTCTTCCAGATTCTTCCCAGAATGAAAGACATGCCTTTTGTACATTTCTTCCTGTAGACGCACAACACATTAGAAGCGAGAGCCTGTAGACTCTTTATGGGTCATCTAATTCTTTCTATATCCCTCTTTTTCAGCTGAAGAAACTGAAGGCTAAGTAAATTAATTAACTTGCCCAATTACATGGCTCTTTGGTATCTATTGTTTATACTTGTTGGCCCAATATTAACACATATAACATATTAACATACACAAGTATATAGGAGTTCTGTTGTTAACAAAGCATGATTTAAAGCAACATCTCTCAACTGTATTTAAACTATTTTATTCCAAAACATCAAAGTAATAAGAACCTTTTGCATATTATGAAGGCACTTATTGTAGTTCTTGACTTCTGTTCTGATGATTTTCCTGATTCTCTGATTTCCCTGAGAACAATAGAGACTAACACCTCTTCACCCTCATCCCTACCCTGACCTGGTAGCAAAAGAAAAATAAGTGCGGAATTTGTACAGGTACATCCAGGGCCAATTGAGCCACTAGAGATTTAATCAAGCCTCTTGAGAAGAAATCTCAATGTTCCTGCCACGATTTAACTTTTAGATATAGTGTCTTCTTGACCCAAGACACTCTTCCATTATAATTGTACAAACCAAATGGAAAGTCTTGTTTCCTGATCTGCAAACAATTGCTTATGTCAGAGGTTAAAACAACTTCAATAAAGTGAAAAGTTCACTCTTGTTACTTGCGTAGCAACTGCAGTTAAAGTTTGCAGACCAGCTGGGTCAATAGCAACTCTGTATCAAGAAGAAGTGGCTCCCAAAGCTGAAGTTAATGGAGGATGGAAATGCCATGTTGAAGTGTGCTCAAAAAAAGTCTTAGACTACTCAGGTAGATGAGGAGAATGTACAGTCCCTACTGTGACTGATGTCTTGCAGCCTCTGTTCAAAATATGTTTAAATGTTAATAACAAACATTTAGACACTCGTTTTGTGTTTCTACTTTAAAGCTAAGCTGCTGAAAGAACTTCTCCTCTAAAACATAAAATTAGTTTAAGTTACAATAACACTTGCTAAAATAATAAATTTATCTATCAATAGTATCTGGCTTTATGGATCAGCAAATCATGAGGATTTTTAGTTACTAAGGTGAAAACAAACTAGATATATAAAGGCTCTACAATATCTTGGGAAAATGTTCATCTGAAACGCTTATGATTGATTGCTATTTTAATAGATTATGGAAATACATAAGAATTCTCACAATAAAATATACGCATGCAAAATTTAGTTATGCTTTAGTGTTCCACTTGTGTATAAATAATTCTAATTTTATAATTTAATAACTTAATTATTAAAGTATATAATTCTAATTTACTAACTCACTGCCACTCACACAGCCCTTGCTGCAAGCATTGGAAGCTCATTCGTTGAAACACCACCAAGAAAGGAGCAAAAGCAATACGTATGTGGCTAAGGTATCTCTCAACTTACTCCAGACCAGTGATGGCGAACATATGACACACGTGTCAGAGGTGACACGCGAACTCATTTTTTTGGTTGATTTTTCTTTGTTAAATGGCATTTAAATATATAAAATAAATATCGAAAATATGTCTTTGTTTTACTATGGTTGCAAATATCAAAAAATTTCTATATGTGACACGGCACCAGAGTTAAGCTAGGGTTTTTCAAAATGCTGACACGCCGAGCTCAAAAGGTTCGCCATCACTGCTCCAGACTGTTTCTCCCTCATTCTAATTCTCTAAAAGACATTTCATCGAGTGCCTTCAGAGAAGATTGTATTTTAATATAAGTTTACTGATGTGAAAACCTCTAAATTTGTAAGAAGTTCCAAATTATTAAATATTAATCATTCAGCTTGCTGGGAGTTAATTACTTGCGATTTGTTTAAAAAGCAATGAGGAGGGACTTGGTAAGCCAGCCATTTTTTCTACCTTTTACTTCATCAGCTAAGTACATCTCAAGGAGTCCTTCCAATTACATGAAAGCAATGTGTTTGCTGTTTGTTTTATTTAAAAGTGGCAACAGTTGATGTGTTTGTGAATGTTCCCCAGGTTTGTATTTCAACCTTCCCAAGTCCAGAGCAAGTAAACACAGGTTATGACCCAATATTCAGGCTAATGGTAAAAAAAAAAATAGTGTTAATTTAGGGGCATCCTTTTATAATTTTATGTTGCATTTTGGGACTCTTCCTTTTCCCTTACTCATCTTTCTGACTTTACCTTGCTGCTGTTCACATGATGTATAAGGATGAGGACAATATTCTAATATAAATAGCTACTATGAAATACAAGAGGAAGTACTATCTTCTTATCACGTGTGTGCTTGTAGGGTTCACCCCTGAGAGGAATATATATGGCAATGGATCAGTCTAAAGCCACTTCCCTCTTCCTCACAATTCAGCACATCCGTACTGGATTGACCCTTTCAAGACCCGGGACCCGGGGTTGGCCACCTTGTTTCCTCCCTGAGTGCGGTGGATGCACTGCCGAGATCTCCTCTTCCTCTCCAGCCAATTGCCTCCTTCCTAAGCCATGGTTCCTGGAGAGGACACAGTCCACATAGATGTCCCAGAAGAGTTGGGCCAGATCCCAAAACAGTGCCCCATGCTTCAAGTTCTCCGATGACTTCAGGTAGATCATGAAATCCCAGAAACCTGACACAGTGTTGGAAATCGGAGGCTTCCGCATTTCCAGGAGGAGCACTGAGGAGGATTCCCAGCACTGGGGATCAGCTTGGTCAAGAGCCAGCAGGTCTGTCTGGCTATGACAGAATAAAGGAGACACACAGCACATTCCCACAATGAGCAGGGAGCAGGTGAGGCTCAAGGGACGGTAGAGCCCTCCTCTGTTTCCAGGATCAGCCATGGCCCTGAAAATGCACATGATGGAAATATCTCACATGAGTCCCTGCTTGTGCTCCACTCAGTAAAGAAAATAATGATGCCTTTAAGAACCTTGATGCCAGCAAAGGAGACACACCATTGTCCCTAGGAAGTCTTACCATTTTTCCCATATCACAAGCACTATTCTATCTAAAATGATTCATTGTTCAGCTGGATAGTGTAGACTAAGAAATATGTACTCCTAAGATGTACACTCATCCTTTAAGATGAATGAGTGAACACATTTTTTCTAGAAAAGGAATATAATTTAAAAGATCTTAAATGAAATTTTAAAATCTTGTTGCATGGCTTTCATTCTTTTACAAAATCATAATTCAGCTTAGCTATCCTAATCAAGGACTCTTGTGCAATTAAGAATTTTAATATATCTCACCCTTGGATGCCTTCCTGTTCAGGTAATTTTAATTTTTTTAAAAAAGCATAAGAATTGTAAAATGTTGTAAATAAAAATAAACAGGAGATAGTGTGCTAAAATGTATGTGAGCCAAGGGACATATATTTAACCCATTAGAGTAGACTCAATGGACATTTTACCACCACCTAAAATATTCTCCAATTCTGATATAACTTTCATAAAATGATGTTCTCTCATTTCTCTTTTCTTGCTATAAATCTCAAGAATTTTAAAAAAAATAATTTGCCTCTTGTTAAATTTTTCTAGCTATCAAAGCCTGTTGCAATAAAATCAAGGCATCCATATACCAATTTGAAATTATGTTACACTTCAGACACGTGCAATGAGAAATGATATCCTTAAGATAATAATAACCTAATTTTTTTCCCAGACAGGTTATCTGACTCTTCACAGACTATACAAAATGTATCTCATTTTGCACAGGAAGGGTCACTTTCAGCCTTATCTTATAGTTCCTAACATTTTAGATGTTAGTTAGTATCATGAAGGCAAGCAGGGCACAGCTCGTGGAAATACATCTATATTGAAATATTGAATGACAACACCATAATACAGAATCTTTTCCTCCTGCACAGCAGCAGATCGTATTGAGACACCCTTAAATCGATATTTCATAAACTGTCTTTGAACATGCATGTTCCTGTTTTGAAGAGGTATGTTAGATACAAGATTATTCAGAAATGTTCCCCCTGTATTTCAGGTCATTTACACAAGATCTCTACCTGAACAAAATTACATTCCATTTGTCCTCTTCTGAACTAAGCTATCAAAGCGGAGGGGCGCCAAAGTTGCTTTTTCTTAGAGGACTAGTCCCGGATGCCAATGCTAAGTCTAAGACAGAGGGCGGGCGCTGTCCAGCGTGCTGAAGTTGGCGCTCTCCGCGTCTCCCTGGTCCCTGGCAGCTCGGGCCACAGCGCTCACTTGGGCTCCTTTAGGAGCCCCCCTCCTCGAGCTTGGAAGTTCCTCAACCCCTGGGTCCTCGTCCCGCACCTGGTCCCACAGTCTCACCCTCCTAGGAGCAGACGTTGCCAGGGACCCTCTGTGTGTCCTCTGTGCCCCGCTAGCCTCCTTACTCCACGCCTTTCCTCCCAGGGGACAGAAGGGCGCCCCTCCGCACTTACCTGCCCAGCCCCGTCTGGATTCCCGCGAGCGAGCGGAGACAAGAGGCTCAGGCTGCTCCCAAGCGAGTGCAGGTCCCCAGTGGCGGCGTCCTGGCGGCTCCTGCGCCTCTTCTTAAGCAGTGGGAGTGCTCCGCGCCTCTCCAAGTCTACGTCAAAGCGCCGGGAAACCGCCGCCACCCCTCGCCCCCAAGTCCGTCTCCCACATCCTCTTCCCTCCCTCCCTCCCTCCCTCCCTCCCTCCCTCCCTCCCTCCCTCGAAGATCTCACTTCAGGATATGAGCAGACTTAGCCACACACACACTCACTGACCGTGACCCACACCCACCCTCCACTCAGCGGCATTGAGCCTTTGTGCGGTTGGTTTGGCTTTTCCGACCGCTGCAGGCAGGAGCTGGAAAGTTGAGACCCAGCCCCAAACAGGTCTAGGAGTGAGAGGAAGTGCCCCGATCCCCACGCCCTAGGCGTGCCTTGTTTGGGAATCAATAGCGGAGAGAGAAGACCCCGGACTCCTAAAGTCCGGGAAGGCACGTGGGCGCCCTCCCGGCGGTCAGTAAGGGCTGCAAGGACATTTATTGGTGTGAATGTCTCCTAGTAAGAACACCGCTGGGGCCAGGATGTGGGGAAGGGGCGTGGAGCTGCTGGAAGCTCCCGGCTGGGTTCAGGAAATCCCTTTATCTCCAGCCCAGGCTGCCACTGGCGTCGCTGGAGTCAGCCCACCGCTCCAGCTTCAGAGCGGGGTCCCTGTTTTCCAAGAAGAGGAACCGGCTGGGATTGCCTTTGATGCTGGACTCACAGCTAGTTAATATCCCAGCCCGGGCTAGAGTCCTTGGGGCTTCTGCTGACCATGAGCGTCCATCCTAACTAGGATATTCCTAGCCCAGAGACCGGAGGCAAAAAGTCCTCCTACCTTTGCAAGTGTTTCCAGATTTTGTCCCCCACGTCAAACCCCTCTAAGCATCCTGAAAACCACTTGTAGTATCCATTTGATTGAAGGCTTTTATGCCAGCTCAACAGTATCCATGGTTACCTTCCAGAGGGGGCACAGGGAGGAACCAGACTTGTAACCAGGTTTACAGAAGACACGGAGACCCGTTCCTACTGAAGTGACAGGAAGAGACTCTTCCTAAGGGGCTCTCCTGTCCTGAAACCGGATGAAGTGCACTTCTATGCCTCAATCTGTGATCTGAGCATACCGATGCCTGCTTTAAATTACATCCTAAGGATATGGGAAAAGATCCTAGGTGAGGTCTCGGATTTGCTTCCTGAACTTCAAGGAGCCCTCAGCCTCTTGGAGAAGGTCATTAGAGAAACACAGTGTGTGTGACAGGGACAGCGTGTGACATGAGAGGACCCCAAGAAAGGGAGAGTGAAAGGAGGGGGCAGTGAAGGTATCTTTGAGGAGGCGACTGGCAAATCTCTTGAAGAAGGAGTTACACAGGTGTCCTGAGGCCAAGAGGGAGGGAATGGTCTCCTCCAGACAGAGAAGTCAGCATGAGCAAAGGCATGGAGGGAGCATTCAAAAGAAAGGAATGTGGAGAGAGAAGAAGGGAGAACAGAGGTAGGGATGTGGGAATTTAATTCTGATTTGGGACATGTCGATAGTTGCATCACCCTTGAAAACATCAGTATAAAATATGCAGTGCTGACTTTATTTGTAAGTGCCTATGTGCCAAGCACTATTCTAGATGTTGTGTATATAGAAGGAGTAAGACAAAGTGCCCATACTCAGGGAACTTCCATTCCACTGGGGGTGGAGAAATAACATTTATATTTTAAGTTATATAAAAGTATACTGATTTGTGTTTCTAGTTTCTATGCTGAACAGTGAGTGTACAGCTATGCATCAAAAACACATAACTAGCTAATTATATAAGTAAATAGTGACATGCATGAATCAATAATGAGATTCTATCTATTATTCTGAAACCCAAGGAAAAATGTCTAATAAGAAAGAGCAGATGATCATCAACAAAAGGTAAAGCAGGATTAGAAAAGGATGATGGAGAAGAGTTATTTTTATATGGAATACTAAGAAGCCTTTCCTGACAAGGAGATGTTTGAGTAAAGACCTACTGAAGTGAAAGAGTGAGTCTCATATACATGTGAAAAAATGTTCCAGGTGGGGACTGAACATGGAACAAGCATTTTTGTGAAAAGAGTGTTTTCTGGGTATGACGGTAGGAGAAGAAGTCAGAAAGGTGATCTAAAATCCATCCTGGCTCCTCGAGAACAGACGGGATGGGAACAAGGGCAGAGGCAGGGAGTTCAGTTAGGAGCTGGTACAACAATCCAGATAATATATGATGGTAAATGAGATAAAGGTGTTAGCAGTGGAGTCAGTGAAAGTGATCAGATTCTGAATATATTTTGATGGTAGAAAGAGCAGGATTTATTGATGGGCTGGACATACAGTTCAAGACAAAGGGAAACTGAAGATGACTCCAAGTTTGGGAGGCTAAGCAACTGGAAGTTTGGAATTATCATCAGCTAAGAGAGGAAAAATGTTTTGAGTAATAGTTTGGGGAGCGGGAAATCAATAATTTAGCTTTCAAGATGTTAAGTTTGAGATGACTGATATCCACATGGAGATGCTGTAAAGGCAGGGAGAAGGTGGGAACTAAAGATAAGCACTTGGGAAATGGTGCACAGGAATGAAGTCTAGACTTGGGGGTTGGATTTACCTCTAGTCAATAGATCAAACCCTCATGGAAAATGGCCTGAGGATAGAAACTGAGAAATGCCAACCTTTACGTGATCAAGAAACAGAGTTAAAAGGAACCAGGAGAGCCTGGTGCCTTGGAAGCCAATGAGATAGAGATATTCCAAAAAAGGCAAGATATCAACTACATCACACAGATTCAGAAAAGGGGGTCAAGAAAATGAAGACAAAAAATGTCCATGAGGTCTAAAATATAGGAGGTCACTAAGTGGCTAATTATTAAGCTCAATTTCAACTGAGTGTTGGGGGAGAAGTGGTGAACAAAAGCAGAAATGGAAAGTGAGGGAAGGCAGACAGCCCTGCAAAACACTATGGAGTTTAGAACATGAGGTTAGTGGTTGGGTCTCTACCATGTTTACAGGCTGAAGGAAAGAAATCCTTAGAGAGGGAGGAGTTGAAATTCAGGAGAGAATGGTGACTAACAATCTCAGAGGAAACAAGAAGCAATAGGGGCAAGAGAATGAGGAGGAGCTAACGTTTAACAGAAATGGGGATAGTTTTCTCTCTGAACAGGAGGCAGGCAAGCTGTCTCTGGACATGAATATGTCTGTAGGTAGTATGTTGGGTCAGGAAGCAGGAATTGAGAGAGATGGTGACCAATGGTCTCAATTTTCTTAAGGAAGTAAGACCCATAGTCATCCACAAAAAGTGAATGAGGGAAGGTGTTAAGTAAGGAATTGAAGGATAGAGAACATATTTTGGAATCATCAT